GTTTGTTCCGCCCCTTCCCATACTTGCCGAGGTTGCCATGAAACTACTCATACTAATTTTGACACTTACGAAAACTATCTCACTAATATCTTAAAAATAACTGACTTAAATAATTTACCACTTCCGCCCACCGACTTAACTACTTTAATTAATTTCTATCTTAACCCGCCTACTCATACTTGCCCGCCTTGCTCTCTGCCTCATTTACCCGAACCTCATGTTTGCCCGCTTAACCAAATTAATTGTTCGCACACTGACTACGAGCAAATTAAAACTGAACGAGATAAGTTAAATGCTAAGTTAAACCAATCCCAACAAGATTATCAAAAACTCCAAAATAAATTAGACCAGCAAGAACAAGAAATTATTAATTTGCGAGAATTATTGAAGCAACCACCCACTATTATTAGTAAAGATAAAGAGGAATGAACTGCTATTAAAACTCAATTTTTAGCCAATTGGGAAAAACTTTTCAGTTCCCATCTCCTCCAAACTTACCAAAAGAAAATCCAACAAACTACTAATTACCAACAAATTATCCAACTAGAAAAACAACTCATTCAGGAAGAGCTGAACCAGCGAGAAAAGGTTAATTATAACTTGGTGAAAGAGAAAGAGAGATTAAGTAATTGAAATTGAGGGTTGGTTGTTTTGCTAGCGGTGAATGTTTTAATTATCTTGGGGTTATTAATTAAAAGAAAAGTTAAAAAGACAAAAAAATTAATCATAAAAAATAAGGAATAAAAAGAACTAATAAAATAAATATATACTAAATTATTAAAATTAACTAATGGGAATAAAAGAATATAACAACTTAAAATATGTTAACTGAATGGATACAAATGGAGGGGAAATTCGTTTATTAACAGGAGAATTTACTCAACTAGGTGCCAAGAAAGATATGCACCAAATATGTATCCAAGGCACAAAGGCTTTTTTGACTGATTTTGGAATTACTATCCGCTCAACTGATGGAATGGCAATATTCTTTGATTCCGATAATGAACTTATTACTACCGATAGTGAGTTTAGTTTTTCGTATGAGGAAAGGGATAAATTTTTCAGTGAAGACCAGCCTCATATTAAATATATCTACTATCATGATTTAATTAGTCTCCAAGTGGCGGGTCGTTCCTTTTTAAACCAACCTAACTCAATTTTCACCGCTAAAAAAAAATTGGCGAAGGATTTGGAAAGAGCGTTTACTTTTACTTGCGAAGTAGCTTATGAATTAGGTGAATTAGACCAAATCCAAGTTTATGACGAGCGAGTAAACCTAATCACTCGGCAAATCTCCACCAGCGAAACCGCTATTGAACCTGCCGGATACGATAACTTATTAAATACAATACAAGGAATTAGCACTAAACTTTGTGAAGATTGGTGAGAGGAAGTTTTTGCCAGTGGAAACAACCCCGATGTAGCACCTGACCTAACCCCCCAAAAAATTAGTCAATGAATTAAGGCGAAAGATAAGATTAACGAAGAAATACCAAAAACAAAACTACAAAGAATAAATAATGCGGTTAAAATTGCCTATAATAATGGGTGAAGTCCCGCCGATTTTCAGACCGAATTTGCTGAAAGAGCGAATAAACGTTTTTATCTTGCCCCCAAAAAACAACTTTCCTTAGCGGAATTATTAACCCAAGCCCAAGAGTTAAAAAACACTGAGGATTATAATTTCTCTAATTTACAAAACTTATTAGCAAAAATTTATGTGGAAACAAGAACCACCCCCCCCAATGAGGCTCAAAAGGAACTAATTATTAATTTAAACAAAGAAAAAGCCGAACTCTTTTTTAAATCGCAATTAGACGAGCAGTTTCCAGTTAAAGATAGGAGTGAGGAAGAAATTGTAGCGAACGGAGAGTGGCGAACTTTCTTTGCGGGGTTAAGAAACCTAAAACCGGCAATTAATACCGATAGCGAGGCGGTAGTTAGATTAAAAAACCTCCAAAAAAAACGCTATTCACTAGACCAGTTAGACCCCGCTAATTTAACTTTTCCCGAGAAAACAGTGGCAGGTAAGGTTGAAAGAGAATGAAACTGAAAGGTTAGTGTTGAAATAGGGGAAGGCAAAACCAAAACTTTTGATGCTTTTAAATGAGGGTGATGAGAAGGTGAAATATTTTTTAGACATTTATTCCAAGAGGTTGAGGAGTTAGAAAGAATTGCTGACCAAAACCGCTGACGAACATTATTATTAGAAACTACTCGGTTAGAGAAAAAGTTTGAAAATTTTCTATCTCGTAAAATAATTCATGCCTACTTTCATCGAGCCACTGATAAAAATGAATTAGAGGCTCGCATGGAGGAAATTAAGCAAACTAATGCCCGCGAAATGGCTTTACATGTTGATACCCACGGGAAACCTTGACTGGAAAAGTATAATTTTCATTTAGAAGCCTTATTTATAAATAAAACCTATCATTTCGAGGGAGACCAAAATAAGTTTAAGTTCCGCAATGAGGAAGTGAGGAAAGTTTGAAAAATCTTAACTGACTGACAAGCGATTATGGAGTTGACAGAGGAGCAGTGAAATAATTCAAATTTAGAAGAGCAGGAAAATTATCTTCATTATTATTTTCTTAACCAAGAGAATTATCGCCAAAGTGTTCCCGAAAATGCGGTTGAATATGAGTTAAATAAGCAAAGTAATATTGGTGGATATTTTGACCGAGTGAGTAAAAAAATGGAAATAATTTTTCTTACTGAAATGCTTGCCGATGCCGATAGCACCGCCGAAGGATTATTAGATGTGCTTTCGGAATATGATAGTTATTTTACTGCCAAGGATAGTGCCAGCAATGCTCCGCGGATAAAAGATATCCAAACTGCTTTTCAAGAGTTTTACGGCGAGGAGTGGAAAACAAGGTTAACCGCTAATTATCACCGTTTAAAAATGATAGAGTGGTTAACCCACATTATACCACTTTGCGGAGCTGACCGAAATGAAGTCAACGAATTTGATAATGACACCAAGGAGAGATTTAAAAAGAGTTTTGAAGAAATTAATGGGGAAGCCAATTTTCGCTGAGGGCAAGAAAAAATTAATTTTTCGGCGAACAAAATGGAAGACTTACTTCGCAAATTAGGGTTTAGTGAAGCCATGTTTGGGAACTCTGTTGAAGAAATAGTGGAACAAGGTAAAAATACCACCGATTACAGCGAATTACTTACCATCATTAAGCAGTTAGACCAGCATAATAAACGCGAGACCCAAGCGGAAGCAATTCGTCGCTTAAAATGGAAGTATTTTAACACTTTATTAGAACAAAAACATCTAGAAGTTCAGTTAGGGTGAGAAGCAGATGAATTAGATAAATGTGAAGAACGGTTGCTGGATAGAAGCAAAGCAACCTTTCAAAGTGAGGCAGACGACCGCGAGTGGCAAGCTAAATTGACCAA